TTCCCCAGTGGCTTCCTCACCCGCTGCCGGATTCTACTGTCTCCTGGAGAGTTGCCTGTGAACCTTGCTCTGCTTAGTCTGCGTAGCATCCCTGAGCGACCCTCTCCTTTCAGATATTTACCACTGTTAAGATTTCCAGTGTGGGTCTCTCTCCTGAGCTCTGGACTCGAGTCTCCAAGTACCCAAGGACATAACACTTAATCTTCATACCTCTCCATCTTAATCCGACATCTCCTCCTCAATTTCTACTTTTTTTCTCTCTCTGGTAGGATGACCATTTTCAGCACTGCCCACGTTGGATCCCACCCTCTTGTGTCTGGGATATTTCCTTTGGTCTCCTCTTGGGGCTCTATCACTTTTCTAATTTGAGCCTTTGGCAGCTCAGAAGCTTCTAGAACCTCCATTCACTCATTTTTACCAGTTAGGACCCTCAGAGAAGTGGAGAGATTTTTGCCATAACTAAATGTTTGAATGTCCAAGTAGGGAGATAATGCAAGTTATACTAAATATAAGAAGGGAAACCAAGTAACACACACACTCGCTGCTCTTGGATCCCTTCTTACTGATAATGACTCTTCATTCGGTTTCCAAGGCTGTGAGTGTTCACAAAGGACTGTTCATCTGAGTGTCTGGTGGATTAAACCCAGTGATCTTGTTGTTGTCGTTGTTATCAGGGTGACATACTGCATACAGAGACACCAGGGATCCATAAGCAAGCAACCGGTGACCTCCCCCGACCCACCCTTTTAAAGAGAAAACTTAGTGCCCGCTGGTGGAAAAATGCAAAAGAACTGCTGTTGTTGTCAGAGGCCATCAAGTTGACTAGGACTAACGGCAACCCTGTGAAGAGCAGGTCTGAACCGGTTTGCTCCTGTGCCATCTTCTCCATCTCTGATAGGTGCCGTCACTGTCTTGCCGAGGATGTTCCTCTCTGACCTTCTTCCTGTCCCAGCATGATATCTTTTTTTTAAGGCCGGTCCTTCCTGGCAGCACGTCCAAAGTATCAAAGTATATGAGACAGAGTTTCAGCGCCCTTGATTTTAAGGATTTCTCAGTACTTTCTTTAATTTTTGAGACACCTGGTTCCCTTTTCAGTCTTGCATGAGTCAGAGCTCCCTGAATGCTGTCGGTAATAGCTGTGTTGAGGTTTGGTTCACTCAGTACGCAGTGCACCGATTTGAAGTCTGTAGTCTTAGCATGTTCACAGGGTTGTGTGACTATTTTCTAATTCCAGAACATTTTAGTGTCCATCAAAGAAACCACATATTTGTTACCTGTAAGCTCCTACCTCTTTCTTCCTGCTCATGTGCTTTCTGTCTATACAGTCGCCTGTTCTGTTTCTTTCATGTAAATAGGATCACACAGGTGCTTTTGTATAATATTTCAGGGTTCATCCCTGCTAGATGACATATATCTGTTTTTCTACTGGCTGAGTAATATGCTGCAGAATGGATAGTGCACTTTTGGCTTATCTGTCAGTTGGCTGGCATTGCCACACAGTAGGAATGGCCCTGTCGTGGCTGTGAGCCTCCAGGATTGGCATTAACATTTTACTGAAAGATTACTCTGTCCATGGTGCTAATGGGTTCCACAGGAAGAAAGACCCAACAGTCCATACAATCAACCATTGAAGGCCCTTTGGAGCGTCATTTTACTCTTTCATACATGGAGTCAGCATCAGTAAGGAGTGTTTCCAGGACAGCTGTTGTTGTTATTATTTATGGGAGTCTATTAGATACTTAAGGCTCTGTCTTAAAATTCGGTTCCCCATCAGCCTCTTTTCTAAGTGGAATGCCACTCTGGGGTGGACCCGCTCTGTTTTACATGCTTGATGTTGGTGTTGAGTGTCAAGCTGTGTGGTCACGGATGGAGCTCAATGGTCTCTGCATGTTCTGCATTCCTACTGGTTTGCACTGTACCTGGGACTTCACACCACTGAGAAGTTGCGACCCATCTGAGGGTACCCCAGGTGTCTGAGTGTCATGGAGCAAAAAGAAGCCAAAACCCATTAAGAGTACAAGATGAAGTTACGAAGTTGTAATTGTGTCAGGTAAGGGTATTTGGCGACATAACTGTCATTATGGCAGGAAATGACTACAATTTTCCTACCAGGAGAGTTTGAAGAATAAACACTTAAATAAATTTACCTTTGTGAGAAATGAGTATATTGTATTATTTTTCTTTGTTTGCTATATGCTATTGAAAAATAAATTATGGTCTATGAATTGATATTTGGGGAGCACAGGCTTTACAGACTCAGTCTAAATCTTAATTTGGAACGTAGAACCTTCACGTGATTAGCTATTAGTGCTGTGTGGTGCCAGATACCAATTTCATACAGATTATTTGCTCTCTGGATTAACTATTTCTGCTGTTAGGTCTCTTCTTCTGTTGATTCTTTGGGTGGCCCACAGAAACACATGTGAAGAAAGAGCAGTGGCTTAAACATAGGTTAGTATACATATGAACTGACCCTTATGAGACCAGAAAACTAAAAATGTCATTCAGAGGGGTCGAATGAGTCCCATTTACAGAGACGATGTGTAACTTTTAGATTACACATGGTCTCACCTGGGAGTACTTTAGATATTTCTGTTGATTCTGGCTCAGCTGAATTACAGTGTCAACTGGATATTAGAGTTTTGTCATAAGGCAGTTATGAGCTGTCGCATGGATACACTAATTACATTAATTGGGCAGTAAAGAAGCCATAGGAATAGATAATATGCTTTACATTTTTATGAGATTATGGCTATAACTTCTTATTTATGGTGGTTAAACCTTGTTAATTGTCACTGCTGACAAGCTCTCATGGTTTCCTATATAAGGAGTGGTGGTAACATGGGCGAAGCTGACTCTGACTTCTACCCACTTTCTAATAGCATCCAGTACACCAATAGCATCCACAGTACCAAACAAATAGATACGTGGTAAGAAACGCCACCCCACGTACACCTATACCTATTTCTATGGATCATTGAGTCCGATGCTCATTGCAAATTGACTCACAGACTTTACTCACAGTTGTGGGCTTTTTTAGGGTTATAGGTTGGGGTGTGGAGGAAGACAAATAATATCACACAGTGTTAGTCCAGGTTTTGTCCAGCATTTCCTAGCCAGATTATCAAATCACAATTCCTCAATTAGGGAAGGTCCAGGCTTAGTTCAGCAGCACAAATGCACCTCTTGTTTCCACAGTCATCCAGCAAACTTTATCTTAGATCAGTTACAAGTCAGCTTTTCCTTCAGTCATCTACTGGGCAAATTCTTTAACTATGGCTCTGTCTCTAGGGTTCCTCTGGTTACACCGTGCTACAGTCTCTTCACAGCATTGCCACAATCTCTTCACCACGTCTTTCACAGTGTAGAAAGCGCACACTTATATTGGTCCAACAGCTGTTGATGATTTGTAAAACCGTACCCCCAGCGGCAGCTAATGCAATGGCTTTAAGTGCAATTTTCAAGATTTCTGACACCACATTTCCTACTTTTTCATTGGCGTATGCATTTATTTAGGAACTGTGACTGAAGAGCCACAAACATACAATAAATACACATTCGAAGCTTTTCTAGATTTCATTATATACATATTAAATTTGTTCAGCATATGTTTGCTGTTCACTATCCTAAGTTCTCTATAGTACACAAAGGTGCTTGCTGCAGCTACACTGAAAAATGAATCATGGAGGCAGGAGGTAAAACATTGAAATCATGTACAAAGAAATGCAAAAACATGTACCAAGAAACTAAACTCCCTGATTCTAAGGTGAACTTGGTCATGAAGACCCTGAAGGACTGTGCAGACTTGCCCATAGAATTTTCAGGTCTGTAGTCAATACTCGAGGGAGCTCTGGTGGCCTAGTGGTAAGAAGCTGTGCTGCAATCCCAAAGGCACGGGGTTCTAATCTACTAGCTGCTCCATGAAAGGAGGATGGATGGGCATTCTCCTTCAGTGCAGTTAACTGCCTCTGAAAATGTGCCAGAGGGTCAGCTGTCGGTGATTCCAACTTGATGGTATACAACAACAACAACTGTATCAGTTCATACTGAAGCAAACTGCTAGATCTTGAATTGTTGGTGTATTCCACCACGTTTTCATTAACAACCAGTGCTTAATTGTTGCACCACCAGGTCTTCTAAGGTCCTTAAAGGTGTAAGATCGGAGGAAAAGGATGATTCCAGATGGATGATCAGTGATGCTGGAAGGCTCAGTGGTTGAAGGATTACTTTGCTTCTGTGGCATAAAGCTCTGTGCTATCTTGATATACATATCTACATCCTAGAACTGTGAGCGAATCGGGGGCTAAATGCACAGACAAGGAAGCCAGCTTTTGTTCTTGTCTCAGCTCCCTTGCAACCTCACTTTATGTCCTTGAGTTTGTAAAAGCTGATGTAATTGTCTGTGTGCAGCATATCTGACTGTGATGAATGAGATAACGGAGGTGTTCCCTGTGGAGAAATTGGCATGTGTTCACTTTTTCCAGTCAGCTTCAGCCTTTGGACAGTAGTAAGGACCGATTTATAACTAAGAGTTTACTGTCTTGACCATTGTGCCCAAGGCATTGTAAAGAGATAGGATGGTCTGTGTAACGTCTGCCCTGTTGTTGGAAAATGTGTCTGAATTCCTTGACGAAACTCTCAAGCGATTATGGCGAAGTAGTATTGTAATCATTGAAATATGTTAAACAAGGAACATGTTGATTGGTTAACTATTGCTGGTCTAGGTTCTTTACAGTTGGATTTAAATGTTTTAAAGAATTCTAATTTTAAAAGCAGTAAATTGAGACTCAGGCAAGATAAGGCAAGTTGCATAGATTCTACAGCTGCTTGAAATACAGCTGCTTGAAATCAAATCTCCTTTTAAGCAAAGACTTCAGATCATGGTCTTTATCATTTGACGTCAGTATTTCTCTGCTCTTTGGAGCCCAGTGTAAACACTTTGATATGCGTGTGAGTGTGTAAATTTTATTTCTTATTATTGCTGTTGCTTTTACCACTAGGCTGCTCCTTGAACTGCTGGAATTGCTGTTTGACAAGTTCAACGCGGTGGCCACTGCGCACTCCGTGGTCCTGGGCTACCTGCAGCAGACCGTGGGGCCTTTCCTGACTCAGCAGGAGGAGGTCAAACTGTATGACATGGCGGACGTGTGGATGAAGATCCAAGACGTGCTGCAGGTAAGACCCGTGCTAACGGGCGGCACCTTGACTCAGAGCAACCTAAAGTGACAAACAAACACTACCTAAACTTGACCTACCGAAACACTTCTTAAGCTCACGGTGGCTTAGTGGTAAACAGTTGAGCTTCCAACACTAAGCTACATTGCTCGAATCTGCCAGCTACTTTATGGGAGAAAGAGGTGCAGTCGCCTCTTGTGAGATTTACTACCTCTGAAAAAACCTGTTGGAGGGTCAGCTGTGGGTCATTTCTGAGTCAGCGTTACTCAACAAAACCAACCACCTAAACCTTTACTTTAATAATCATGAACCCATTGAGAAAGGAACACGTCCGTTTAAAGAAGGTGCTGCTTATTTTGTGAATGTCTCCGAGGTGATTTAAAAGACTTTTGAGTTTTTGTGTCCTGTTAATGATTGTCTGCACATCGTCTGTCCTGCCTAAAGTATCGACACTGTAGGAAAGTATCTTTAATAAAGCTGGATATGGTTTGGCAGGGAAAAACCCTATTTTTTTGACATTCATTTGTTTTGTTAAGCAAGTGGTAAATAGGAACAAATTCTGAATATGTAGCCTATAGTGATGTTATAGCATTTGCTTTTCTGTTGTAAAACATTTTACCCAAGTGGCATTAGTTAGTTAACTGAGATAATTAATATTATGATATTCTTGAACAGTATAAACCTTTATGTAACTTAGTTGTATTGACCATTTCCCATCTGTCTGCTTTTGAATCTATTGGGTTAAACGGTCTAGGAGATAAGAATAAGTCTATGAGTTATAAATGGACCGCTGATAATTTATTCAGAGATTGGAAGAATGATATTACTATTTGGTATGAAGTTACTGAGAATGAATTTGGAAATTATATTAGATTTTCTGAGTGCCAGGAGGATGTATTTGATTTGACCAGTGAAAACTAGAAATGCAATTAAGATTTAGCAGAAGCAAGTTTGACATAGCTAAGTAGAAGTGACATAGTTAGCTAGCCTATACTAAGATGAAAACAATTAAGTATGTGTAGGGAATTGAAAATATAACTATGTGGGAATGAAATTACTTGCATGGCAAATAGGAATCTTTGCAGGAAAAAAAATAAATAATGAATGAAAATTGCCTTTATTTCTGAGAATATACCATGCTCCTGTGAATTGTATGATCGATTCTTGGTTATTCATTCATTAGACATTTTTGTGGTTTTTTTTTGGTGAGGATACAGTATGCATGCTTTATTACTGGTTCAGTATAGAGAATGGGGAAACTATATCCCTTGAATTCTGTTTTCTGCCCTTCCCATAGCCCTGTGCCTGTATTAAGCATTTAATGAATGGATATGTATGGAATAAAACATTTTTTTTGTAGTTGGCAGGTTGATTGTTTAATTTCTTCGTATTGTAGTTTGGCTAAGAAATATGGACAACAGCTATCTGGAAGAGAGCCATATTTGTGCCCATTTAAATGAAAAGTGATCCAACAGAATGCAGAAATTATCAAATATCACTAATGCCACAAATAAAATTTTGTTGATGGTAATTAAAGGTGGTGGCATTAGTATATTGACAAGGAACAGCTAGAAAGTCAAGCTGGATTCCGAAGAGAAAAGAAAATCCCATTACTGATGTCACGAAAATCTCTGCTGAAAGCAGAAAACATCAGATAAAGGTTTTGTCGAGGCATTTGAATATATAGATTAAAATGAATTCTAGATGACTTTATGAAGAATTGGAATTCTTGAATACTTAATTATGTTTATGCAGAACATGATCATAGACCAAAACCCAACTCTTCAGACAGAGCAAGGGAATACAACATGGCTGAAAATCATGAAAGACGTAGGTCAAGCAGCTGTTGTGTTTTTAATCCAAGTTGCACTATATGAGGAAGCATGTGATATCAAATTGGAGATTCATCAACAGCCTGTGTCTTGCAGGTGATACAACCTTGTCTGCTGAATGTGAAGAGGAATTTTGAAGCAATTATTGATAAACATAAAAAAAACCTATAGTTTTCAGTATGAATTAGGGAACTTTGGTGGCCCAATGTATAAGGAGTTGTGCTGCCAACCCAAAAGCAAGCAGTTTGAATTAACCGGCTTCTCTGTAAGAGAAAGATGGGGTGCAATTTACAGCCTCCGAAAACTTGCTGGAGGGTCATCTATGAGTTTGTTCTGAGTTGATTGCAATAAGTGTAGGGTTTTTTCCATATGAATTACGCCTAACACATACACACACACACACACACACACACACACTCTCTCTCTCTCTCTCTCTCTCTCTCTCTCATAAAAATCTGTACAACTGGCCCAATATGCAACATCTTAATAAACTGAGAAAACACTGAAGTTGTCAAATATTTCATCTTACATCCATATTCAGTAACTAACCATGAAAGCCGCAAATGAAAAATCAAATCATGTAATGCATTGGGAAAATCTACTGGAAGGGAAGGTTGTCACCCTGACGATTAAAGTGAGGCTCACCCAGACCACACGATTTTCAGTCACCTCGTATCCACGGGACATCTGCACAATGAATAAAGAAGACAAGAAAAATCGATGTCTTTAAGCTGTGGTGTTTCTGATGAATATTCAGTATACCATGACTGCCAAAAAACAAACAGATCCATCTTAGAAGAAGTACAGCCACGGTGCTCCTTAGCAGCAAGGGTGGTCAAACTGGGTCTCCTGTACTGTAGAGGACCAGACTCTGCAGGACAGCATGGTTGATAGAGAAACAGAGGAGAACAAATGACCCTCAAGCCAGAGGGACACAGTGGGTGCAACCGTGGACGTGAGCAGCAATGGTGGTGAGGACCAGGCGGGCTTTTTCTCCTGTGATGGTGTTGCTGTGAGTTAGACTCAGAGTACTGAATATCACCACCATGCCCAGCCAGACTGCTTTAAGTTTAAGCTGATGTTTATTTTCATTGATTGTTGAAATCCCGAGAATGACACCAAAGACAACAGCAGCAGCAGCAGCAGCAACATCTTGTTTTATTATTAATCTGTCAGAAGGAAGTAATCGGTGCCTTTCACATCATGCACGTTCTTATTAAGAATGAAATATGAGAGCATCTTTTAAAGTTACTTAAAAATTAATTAGTATTAGGGACTTCAGCTTCTGGACTTAATGATGTTACCTTCTTTTAAGACAATGTGAAAGCAGATGGGTTTGATGAAGATGTTTCAAAAAGCACCTGGCTGTCATCCTAGAGAGATGGGTAGCAGCTTAGGTGAGCTCTTTCATCTGAGTGTCTTCTTAGAGCCACTTTTCAGACCATAGTGCAGGGAAGTGAAGCCAAAACAAGAGCCAGAAGTGTGTGATATATGAGAGAGAGAGAGAGACAGACAGACAGACACACAGAAGAAGAGGGGAAGGGAGGGAGGGAAAGAGGGGAGGAGAGAGGGAGGGAGAGAGAGAGAGAGGGAGAGAGGGGTATGTGCACTCAGAGGCATGAACCCTCTAGAATTTGTGCGTAGGAGACTGGCGAGGGGCCTTTTGGACAGAGATGCTGATTGTTGCTCTGTGCGGTTAGGTGATTCCGACTCATGGTGAGTAGAGCTGCCTATGTTGTTTAGGTTTTTCTCACCTGTGATCTTCATGGGAGCAGATTGCCTGACCTTTTCAACCACAGAAGGGCTGGTGGGTTCAGACCACTGACCTTGCAGTTATCTGCTGAATGCTTAATCACTGAAACACCGAGGCTCCTTTGCACAGAGATAGAGCCCCAGAAATCTGCAGAACACCGTTACACTTTGGGTCAAATGTTAAGACGCACAAGCCACAGAGCTGCGGGAGGAGTGCGGTCAGTAGAGGCTCTCCAGGTCCCAGGGTGCTCTGAGAGAGTTGCTGGGAGCAGCCTGTGCTTTAAGATCACACTTTAGAAACAGGGCTCGTCCGGACGTGTAGTAAGAGTTACTCTCAATCCCTTAAAACAAAAGCCCTGCAATATCAGCTTGCTCCATCTATGTGTTTCCTGTTTGCTAAGGCAGATTCCCCCTGAAAAAAGAGCGTCATTCTGATTCTCAAAATCACAGCATCCACAGTGTCCGAGAGGATGTTACTGTGACAAAGTAGGACAATAGGACTCAAAACTGGAAGAATGTCAAGAGAAATGAATATGTGACAGTAGAGATTCAGTGTGAAAAACAGTATATGAATTTCATGGGGGGAAAAAAGAAAGAAAAAAGAAAATAGAGATTCCACAACTAAGCTTGAGACTGCGGAAGATAGGATCAGTGAACCTAAGGCTCAGAATCTGACATTAACAAGGTTAGCATAGATTCTGATTGAGTTTTTATCACCCCTGATATTTGGCTTAATTCTGGATAACTTCTTAATGTAGTAGGATCCCATATGCTATGGTGAACAATTAATTATTTGATTGTAATCAAAGAGAACTCTGGTAACCTACTGCGAATACGTTGTGCTGCCACCCCTAAGGCAGGCAGTTCAAATCCACCTTCTGCTCCATGGGAGAAAGATGAGCAATCTCCTCTCATGCAATTTAAGCCTCTGAAAACCCATTGGAAGGTTGTCTGTGAGTCACTTCTGACTTGATGGCTCAGAGGAACAACAATAATATAAAGTAAGATACTGTGTCTTTTTAAATATATTTACTGGTACTGTAATTATTTGGATTTGTCAGATGTGTCTAATTTCCGCTCTTTTGAAAACAAACTTAAGGAATTATATTAAAAATGCAAGAAAGAGCTCTTTTCCCCTCCTTTTCTGCTGACAGCGTGCTGTACGATTTGGTTTTAACCTTGTCTCTCTAGGAATTCTTCCTACCCTTTTCTTTTTCATTTTAACTTTTACAAGGCCTACCTAGCATTCACTAGCTAGGCCTGTGTCTTAATGCCTTACTAAACCTTTTTGTCTAAAGAAAAAAACGTGCAAGAAAGAGGGGAACAGCAACAAAAAATTTTAATAAACTAGTATGCTTTAAGTGTTCAGGTCTTTTGTTCATAGGGTCGCTGTGAGTCGTCTGCGACTCGATGGCT